CGGCGGTTGGCTAATGGTCAGCCATAATCGAGCAGCATTCCCGTCTGGCTTGCGCCCCAAGGTGACATTTGCGGCGGCAACGCGCCGAATGCATGTTTGCATCCGCTGGCGCATGGCTTCATCATTTTCTCCATCCTGCGGCGTAGTGGGGATCAGGACGAATCCCCTGCGGACTCCCGGCACAAAGGCATCGGACATGTTGAGCTGCAGTTGTAGGTCTCGGGCCATCTCGTTGGCTTTTTGGAGGACTTCACTGGCTTGGGTTTCTGGAGGCCATCCCCCCATGATGAGAGCAGGGACTCGCCCCGTATCCGCAGTCGAAGGGGTACTCCCCGATGCCTGGATGCTCTTCACGGTCGTCTCAAGGAAGCTGATTCTCCCAGCCATAGTTTTCGTATCATTGGCGATGTCGGCGATGCGCAGGGCCTGGTCTGCTTGGTTCGTGGACAACGTCTCCACGGCTTGAAAAGTGCGGTCATTGTGCTGTTGGAGATTGCGCTCCACTGCCGCTACCCGGTCAGACAGGCCTGTGACCGCTCCTTGGATCTCACCTCTGACAACATCGCGAATGGCTTCTAAACTCAAGCCCTCATCGTGGACAGCTCGCTTCTTTTGAGGGGATTCAGATGGCGGTCCCATGTTCCCCTGCATCTGGCTATCTGTCATGTAAATGTTGTTCCGAATCTTGACCTCGAGCGGCGCGGCGAGTAGTGTCGCCGATGCCGTAGCTGAAGAGGTTTGACAAAAGGCTGAAAGGACAGCGCACAGATGCCGTACAAGATTGTTGCACAACAAGTTCCCCGGCCGGAGCGAGGTGGATGATCAGCGCAGTCAATGCCTTCACGTCCCCGAGCAATGGCGAAGGGATGAGAAAAGGCACAGGGAGCAGAGCAAGCGCCCGGGTTTACAGGATCGAGGGCCTCACAGAAGAGAGAGCAGGAAAGACAGATGGGGCGGAGAGGCCCTGACGTCCTTGAACCACTTGAGCCAAAATGGCTACAAAGTTCTGTCTCTCTCTCTCTCTCTCTGTCTGTCCGTCCGTCCGTCGATCTCTTTCTCTCTATCTGTCTCTCTCTCTTTGCTTTGCTTAGGGCATGGGGCGGGAGCAGCCCCTCTCTCTCTCTCTCTCTCTGTCTCTCTCTGCCTCTCTATGTATATAACTACGGGTGCCTACCTATGTCTGTACGTTTGTATGTATGCGTGTATGTATGTACGTACAGACATGTGTATGGGTGTGTACGCATACACATACATATCTACACGCGTTTACAGAAATTTGTATACGTATGTGCATATATATATATATATGTACATACATATATGTATGTGTACATCTACATATGCATATACATGTACACATACGTATACACATATGTAGATACATATTATATGTGTACATATGCCATACGAATGCATATACAGCAGCATGTGCACATACATATTGACTTAATTACTTGTGCAGTTACACTTGCATATGATTCTTTACTGATAAACATGCACGCATATGCGTAGACATACACAAATGCATACATATACGGGGAAGTAGTTTACAGATATAGACGTATGTACGCATGTATGCACGTATGCACGAATGCACGTATGCATGTATGCATGTATGCACATATGCACGTATGTAGGTGTGCATGTTCACGTCTGTCTGTGTCTGCATATGGCATATTACGGTAAAGAGGCGGGGATTCAGAATATCTTACATATCTATATATATGTGTGTATATATATATATATATATATTTGTATGTATATATGTATATGTATACACATAGAAGCACATATACAAAGCATGTGGTAGTGCATGCGGGCATCATGGCAAGCCTACAGCAAGCTTGTGCTCACCGGCAAGAGCCTGCCTGGGTGACGTCATGACCAGGGTTGGGTGGGCCTCACCTGGCCGGACGGCGGCTCGGTGGCAGTCAAAGTTTGCATTGATGGGCGCATGCTTCTGGTCGATGCCGCATGTTAGCACCACTATTCTCACTGTTCTTGTCATCATGATTAGTATGATGGTAAGCATCACCATGCCATAACAGTTTGTTTGTCACTTCAACCATTAAATGAACTGTTTGATCCCTGCTAGCAACAGTACCTTTATCCTGTTTCACGATCACAATCACGGGCCATCACCACTACCGTCATTATTTCGACTGCTGTTGCTCCCGGCACCTGGGAGCGCAGAGGCGCACTGTTGCTCGATTGAATTTGAGAGTTTCCAAAAAAACAAGGGGTACCTTATTTTGGGGTCCTTATAATAAAGATCCTATTATTTAGGGTACCATATTAGGGTCCCCTATTTTCGGAAACCCCCATTTGAGATTGGGGTTGGCAGCGTTGGGGTTCGGGGTTTATGGCTCGCCGGTCCTGAAAAACGGCTTCGGCTGCTCTGTAGCACAGCCACAGGCTTAGGCTTGGACACACCGTTCGAGATCCTTCAGAGCGAAACGGGCGGTGCGAAAAGATTTGGTTTGCACTTGTTGTGAGCTTCTGTCTATGGTGGTAGTTAGGTCTCCTCGCAACATCACATATGTTCACAAGCATACTCACTCCCAAACTCAAGTCGAAGGAATGGTTCCCACTTCAAAAGGCAGCCGTGCTGTAAGCAGGTGATGCTCTGAGGCTGGTACCGGCCAGGGAAGTTGGTCCAGAACGCGCTACATGTCCGGATGGTGGCTTGGATCTTAGGAATTTCTGGGAAGCTTGCGAAGAAGTGCTACAGGTCTTCCGGCTTGGCTGGTCAGTCAAGACGCACTGGCCAACGCTGTGTGCTTTGCGTGGCTTGGGTAGCCATGTCAAGGGTCTGACGTTCCCTGTCTACTGAAAGGAGCTGTGGATCGCCAGGCTTTCAGCTTTTCAGGCTGACATGGTCTCTGCAGCTTGGCTTGAGCCTTCTGGGTGCAAGGCAAGCCTGTAAGCCAGTGATTGAGGCCATACAAGGGGTATATAATTATAAGGACTATACAATGGTTATTTAAGGTAAGCCAGTGATTGACATTGACATGCTTTCTGATCGCAAATCTTCTAGGGACGTTCGCAGTCGAGGAAGTTCGCTAATCCGTGCAACAACGAAATCACGCTGAACATGCAGCCTGCGGAAATGCCGAAGCAGTCCAGTTGCCTTCGCAGCTCTAGAAAGAATTAGGATCTTACGGATGCGCGAAAAATCTTTGTCCGGGCAGGACCTATGCTTCTGCTAAGGTCTAAAGTCGTAAAGAGAGGTTGTGACAGAGCATCTGCCTCTGGCAGAGCCTTAAGTCACAAGCTCTAAAACGGAATCACCCTGAACCCAAAGTTGGGCAGCTCGGACGATGCACTTAGGAAATGGGCCAAAGAATTTGCAATTACGGCTTCCTTTGAGTCACCCCGTCTTTCTTGACTACCCTAAACCCTAAAGCCCTAAACCCCAATCCCCTTGGAGTTGGGTTCAGGATGTGCCACATCGGACCTTGCCTGGAAGGAAGGTCTCTAAGCAGTGAGACGCATGTAGCCCTGGCGATGCTCTCATTCCCGTCGAAGCAGATCCTTTGGGTAACGTGAACAAGCAGGGTCTAGTGTTTTCGATTCAGTGAAGGCTTGTTTGGGATTTTCTGAGATTTCTGAGTGTCTCCGAGTCTGTGTCTGTCTGTGTTCGTCTGTGTCTGTCTGTGTTTGCTGGCGGTCTTTGTCTGTCTGTGTCCGTGTGCGATTCTGCTGCAATCTAGTTCGGCTGCGTCCCCTTCGGCGGGCCATCTACCATATCTCTGCGCCCTCAGACCTTGCCAGCAGCTCGAAGCAAGCTGCCTCCCTGGCCGCCGAAGTGCCTTTGGCTCGGTCTTTATCTCAAAAGCACTTGCCCCAGGAATGAGGTGAACCGTATCCAGGTGAATGCGTTTGGGGTCAGCTGCTGGGGTGCGGGACTGAAGACTCTCAAAGCAGTGTCTTTCAGGATTCGTGGCCTTAGTCGCCGGTGGAAGGAAACCTGATCTCTGCAGCTCCACCCGCGTAGATGTCGCCTGATGCCTGAAACGAACGAACAGAGGGTACCGTTCCCGATCCAGATTTCACCAGACCGACTAAGCTTAAGCTGAACTCCCACGATCCGCGTCTTCCACGCCGCCCTCCGCTGTCGTAGCAAATCGAAAGAAAGAGCTCCGACTCGCAAGATCAGGTCCATTATTTTAAAGACATAAAATAGTGTAGCGCAATGAATATATTGTAGTCCATTATTTTTAAGAAATATATAATATTGTAGTGCAATACAAATACTATCAATTTCTGAAACTCGGTGCAAAGATGCCGAGCACAGCAAGGACCTGGCTCTTCAGGTTCTGCGCTCCGGCGACCTCGCCGGAGGAGAAGGTCAGCGTTGAGGGTTCATACGGTTGCCTTTATGAGAAAAGGGTAAGGTGGTTTAGGGCTTAAGGTTCAGGGGGCATACGGGTTTCAAGGGAATTGCACGTGTTGTGACAGAATTTCGTCGGGGGGTCTGGGGCTTAAGGATTGCAAACGTCCAAAAGCTGGCCCGGTCAGCAGGCTCTCGGAGATGTTGTACCACTGTATTGAAACCACAAAATCAGGGTTCGAGACTGTAGCATGTTGAATGAGTTGTAAACCCAACACAACCGGGTCCTACTGTGAATGATAGGATGTGCATACTGTATGCCATTCATGCAGAGCCATAACTGCCACAACAGTGGTGATGAGAAATTAGCGTATTATGTGCTGTCGGTTATCACAATGTTAAATCATAGTTTGCTATTAGTCTGTGTTGTGTGCTTTGGGGGGGGGGTATATGTCACAGACTCGTGGTGGATTACCATGCATGCGAGTTTTGGTACAAAAATGAAACTAATCTGACTTGCATATGTATATGTGTGCACACAGATTGTGTTTACTTTTCTTGCTGTTTACATCTCATCTCATATTGTTGTATAAGCAATATATGCATGCACATATGCATACAGGTATATGCATACCTCTTGAAATGCTGCCTTACTATGGTGTAAAATTCGCTTGCTTTGATATGTAGATGACGTCTTTATTTTATTGCGAACTCATGTTGTGCAACACGTGAAAAGACACAGACGGCGCTCAATCAACATTCACAAACTTATGTGTTCATGATGCATAATTTCCGAAATATTAAAACACATGCTGTACAAACATGTTCACAAGTTGGATGTGCGTACGTATGTACCGAAGGGCCGGTAAAGCTATAAATGTAAACGCATATGCCATCTCTAGTGGAACGTTCGACGGAATACATGACATAGCGGAGAATCAAGTTGAGATATACATACATGTATACATCTATGCATATATACATCTATACATATGTACATATATATATATATATATTTAGTTATTTATTTATTTATATGTAGATATACAAATATACATATATACATATATGCATATATACATACATGCATATATGCATATATACATATATACATACATGAATATGCATGTATACATATATACATATACACATCTACATATATATATATATATACATACATACATACATACATACATACATACATACATGAACACATATACGCATATGTGTACATGACCACATGCATGAATACATATACACATGGGTACATGCATACATGCATACATGCGTATGCACACACATGCAC